AGGTTGAGTGAGAGAAGATATACTCAAAAAACAAACAAAAATTATATAACGTATGATTCCATTTACACAAAATTCTGGAAAGGACAAACTGATCCACTCTGACAGGAGAGATCTGTGGTTGCCTAGGAATGTGGAGGAATAGGAGGGAGAAATTACAAAAGGGAATTCTAAATAGCAGGGTGAAGGAAAGGCCTAGGAGGGTCATGAGCCAACTGAGTTGGTAAGGTCTAAGGGCACCAGGAAATTACGAACAATATTTCCAGTACATATCATTGACTCCATGTCTAACATATACAGGTGCAAAAGATGCCACCATTCATAATAAAAGAGTTTTGTTCATAAAGATAGAAAAACAGTTGCTACTTCAGCATCTATAAATGTGCACAACAGGGTTACTGCATCAGCCAGTTACACCTCATCCCCTTAGACCTAGTTAAAACTTCCCCTCCCCATGTGGTTGTTTGTGAGATACCTCACTTTTTCCTCATCCCACTATCTCAAAACTCAACATACCCACATTGCTGACTATGATAGAACCTAATGATCCACACCAGAATCGTGTAAACAAGCCTATACTACTTGCACTTTATTTTTATTTATTTATTTATCTTTTATTTAGGTTTTTGTCATAGAGCATGCATGTTTGCTGGAGGAGAGAGACAGAGGAACATAAGAAATTACCCCCCAGGGGGATGGCTATGTCACAATCCCTTCTCTTTCATTCTCCTTGTGAGATTTTGAACACACACACACACACAGGTCCAGGACTCAAATCATGGCCAGCCACATGGGAATCCAGTTGCCTTAACCACCAAGCCACTTGCTGGCTCCACACTTTGTTTTTTAACTAGCACATAATACCCATGAGCTTTTAAAAAGGCATTAATGGGGGCTGGCAGATGGCATGGTTTTGCTATTGGGTATGAGCACTCACTGAATAAAGAGACATAGAGAAGAAAAGTGAAAAAGCATCACCCAGGGGGACAGCCATGTCACCATCCCTTCTCTTTCATTTACCTCTCAAGATTTTGGGCATGCACACACAAATGCCTGGTGTGAGTTTCAAGTCTCTGAGTCCAGGACTTGAACTAAGGGGCTAGGAGGTGATTAGGGTGCTGGACTCCCAAATAACCATGTGGGAGTTCAACACCCTAATCACCTCCTAGCCCCTTAGATGCTCTTTTTAATGACTATTTTTAACATTTTTCTTTATTTCTGATAAACATGTGTGTGCACATATGTGAAAGTGAGAGAGTGAGAGAAAAAAAGAGAGGCGAGCTCCCTCTGCAGGGCCTGGTCATGCTGCGCTTCTTTTCCTCCAGTCCTCCAATCTGGGATCTTGTTTTCAGGCTGAGTGCAGATTTGAAACATGTGTCATGTGAGATTTGGCTTCTGTCTCTTTTTTATTTTTAAAGAATTATTTTACTTAGCTTTATTTATTTACTTTTTAATTTGAACAGAGAGAGAGAGAGAGAGAGAGAGAAAGTCAGAAAGAAGCAAGCCTCCAAGTACGGGACCAGAACCACAGTTGGCCATGTGGGAGTCCAACATCCTTAACCACCATGCCACCTGCCAGCCCCAGATTTAGCCTCTCTTGAGCAGAGCATGACCATTACTCCAGGAGCCAATGCTGCTTCTGTTTTACATAACATTCATGTGCCCTTTTTAAAAGTGTCTCATGCTCATAAATTTTCTCAAAACTTTCCCAATTTATAAAATCCACAATGGGATGGTCAGATGTTTCACAGTTTCAAAATTAAAGCAAGTCTGTCACCAACCCCACTGACTCAACACAACAAATCACAACAGTGTGGCCTGTTTCAATCTGTGATCTGTACAAGGTGATTTTTAACTCACAGAATTGTTAAAACATGGCCCAGGTGTAGCAATCACTTGTGTTGCTTCTTTAATTTCCCAAGCCCGAATCACTTGTGTTGCTTCTCAACTTTAGTTTCCCAGGCCCTTCTGCTGACCAGTGAGTGAATCAGGTTCTACAAGAACCACTGAGTAAGGTCTGGGAGCTCTGACAGAAGTGTTCTCTGGAAAACAACTATCTCCCAAGTGGCTCATAGTTATACATTCTCTGACGGAAATAACTTTTTTTTTTTTTTGGAGAGGTTTTCATATAGGGCGTGTGTGCTCTCCAGAAAGACAGAGAGAGACAGAAAGTGAGAAATCACCCCTCCCCCATAGGGGATGGCCACGTGGCAATCCCTTCTCTTCTCGGGATCTTGGGCACGCATGCACACGTGCTCAATGTGAGTTTAAGTCACCGGGTCCGGGACTCGAACCGCAGTTGACCACATAGGAGTCCAGCGACATAGCCATTACGCTAACTGCTGGTCCTGGAAATAACATATTTTTAATCGTTGCAGATGGTATGTGTCCCATCCTGTTCTTAGAAGAAAAGATAACCATTTTTCTCCCTTCAATTATTTAAAGTGCATATCGATCCTTAAAAATTAAGTACTCGTCACTGCAATCCAAGTTAATGGGATGTATGTGACATGGATTCAATAGAACAGGATATAACTGTGTTGGTGGAGTTTGTGTTTAGTGAGAAGATGTAAAGCTTTTAGGACACGGTTTGGCCATCACTGAAAAATTCCATGCAGAACTACCCTGCCAACATTAAGAGGGTGAGGAAAAATTAATAAATAACAAGTTGGGTTTGTTTTCTAAGTATATAGAGTGTTTACATACATTCCAAACTATACCGTGTTAACACTCGGAAAGAATCCTGGAAATTTTCAAATACACTAACAAAAATAGCATCTGTTAAACATAATTCACTTACTCTCTCTGGCTAATTGTACTTCTTATTCTAGAACAGAGTGTAACCAGCAAAGACACCGTAAGTGTATTTGTCTTTATGATTCTTTCGGTGCAATCACTGCACTGTGTCAGAGGGCGTTATTACACTCCTGCCTGTTTTTATTATATGGGGTTATGTATCGCCTATAAACATTACAGGAGGGACAAAGAAAAGAATTCTCGTGGCTCCGGCGATTCCATTTTGCTCAGGTATCAACTTTCTTTGCTAACACTGTTGGCAGAAGCAAGAATCAAGACAATAATTGCAGAACTTGGTGACCGGACAGAGTGAGCTTCAGTTGAAACAATGGTCTTATCTTCCAAGACAGGACAACGTTAACTCAAAGTGAGGGGGAAACCCACGCAATCATGCAACCTTAATGAGAAACCTGTCCTCCCAAAGAATAAACCCTACTTGAGGGCCTCTTTGTCCTCCTCGCCCTTTTGTACGGGGCATTAAACGCATTATTTTTTTTTTTCTGCAGTTTTCACAGGGTTTTCTTTCCCCCCCCCGAGAAACTGCACTATTCTCTGCGACCTCCAATGCACTCTCTTCCCCCTAACGCGTTTCCCTGTCCCTCGAACGCCCGCGGACATATAATCTCCCCAAACCACCCGTAAGTGTATTTGTCTTTATGATTCTTTCGGTGCAATCACTGCACTGTGTCAGAGGGCGTTATTACACTCCTGCCTGTTTTTATTATATGGGGTTATGTATCGCCTATAAACATTACAGGAGGGACAAAGAAAAGAATTCTCGTGGCTCCGGCGATTCCATTTTGCTCAGGTATCAACTTTCTTTGCTAACACTGTTGGCAGAAGCAAGAATCAAGACAATAATTGCAGAACTTGGTGACCGGACAGAGTGAGCTTCAGTTGAAACAATGGTCTTATCTTCCAAGACAGGACAACGTTAACTCAAAGTGAGGGGGAAACCCACGCAATCATGCAACCTTAATGAGAAACCTGTCCTCCCAAAGAATAAACCCTACTTGAGGGCCTCTTTGTCCTCCTCGCCCTTTTGTACGGGGCATTAAACGCATTATTTTTTTTTTCTCTGCAGTTCTCACAGGCTTCTCTTACCCCTCCCAGAGAAGCTGCACTATTCTCTGCGACCTCCAATGCACTCTCTTCCCCCTAACGCGTTTCCCTGTCCCTCGAACGCCCGCGGACATATAATCTCCCCAAACCACGTTCACAACGGTGCGTGCGCGCGGGTAGTGCGCAGACCCTCGCGCACATTCTCGCTGCCGGCGGATGTTCGGCTGGGCTGCGGGACCAGGCGGGAAAGGACCGTGGGCGTCCAGACCCGCAGGCCTCCAGTACAGACTACCCGCTCGGCACGCCCCACCCCTGCCCAGCGCCCAGGCAACCGACGGGACGCTCTGCCGGTGCCAGGTTCCAATCTCCGGTTCGCATTTTCTCATCCTCCCTCTCTTCCTCCTAGATTATTTTCGTTATCAATTCTTTGCTGGCGAAAGGAAATGGCTCAGAGCTACACATCTCCCTCCCATAAATACGCGTGTGCGTTCCCAGAACCCTTCTCTGCCCCTTCTCCTCCTTACACTTGTGGGGTCTGCAAACAAACGATCCTCCTTCCCGCCGGAGACCGAAGTCAGTCTCCCACATGGCGATTTCACTCGCCACGCCTGCACCTAGTGAAGCCCACCCCTGCCAGTTCATCTTTCTCCCATTGAATTCACCACATTCCTTCCCGCAGCTAAGCACCTCCTCCACCACCTCAGGCTCTACCACCGCCCACATTAAAAAGATGGGGGGGGGTGTAAAAAAAGAAAGAAATCTAACACGCAAGAGAGTGTGGATTCCAAGAAGAAAGTGTGCGCGTGGAAGACAGCCCGAGTGCGTGCACCTGTGCGCACCGCCTGCCTCAGCCTGCCAGGGTCCTGTACGTGCGGCTCCGAGATGCAGGACAGTCCGACGGCTCCAACTTCCCCGGCCAGGCTGGGTCCACCTGGGCTCACCTGTCCGCGTCAGGTAACTGGCGAAATGCCCGCCCGGCCACGGTCCAGGACACTTGGCCGGCACCGGGTGAATGCTAGTGAACTGGGGCCCCAGGGCGCCCTCTCCAGCGCGATTCTCGGCTACCCCTCGTTCCCTCTGAGGGGTTCTGGTTCTGCATCCCCTTTCCCCAAAGACGAACGGGTCCGCCCTCCTCCACGCCTCACCTCAAACAGGGGACCGATCTTATTCTTCTCCAGGTACGCCTGGATCCGGGTTTGCTGCCGAGACGCCATGGAGAGACAGACTGAGCGGCCGAGGGAGTGCGCCTCCGCGAGGGACAGCCCTCCTTTGCCCGGGACCGGGGCCGGGACAGGAGCTCGCAAGCCTCGGCTGGGCTGCGCGGCAGGATCGGCCTCGAG